GCTATTTTGGGGGGGGGGGTGTTTTCTGCATGAGAGGGAAATGAAATTTTAGAAGTGTTTTCACAAAATTACTAATATTTGTTTGATTATTTTTAGAAAATTTATTTATAAATATATGAAATCAAGGTCAGTATTTTGTCAATTTTATCCTTATAATTTTTTTTATTGGGTTTAAAATGTTATAAAATTAGATTTTTTATTTTGTTTATTTTTTATTTTTTCATCTTAAATTACTTATTTTAAAAATTAAAATTTATAAATTCAAAAGAAACTAACTTTTTTGGGCATAATTGAAGAAATTAAAAGTTTAGGGACTTAATAGAAATAAATCGACTTAATTTGGCCCACCCAATCTCGGTTAAATATGAAGAAAATATTTAAGAGCTTAATAGAAATATATTGGTTTAAAAGTTAAAATATAAAGAAAAAATAAAATTATAATAAATAATTATATATATATATATGTAATACGGGGGTTTGGGATGGGGTGGGTACTCTAGTAGCCAAACCTGGACTATGACCCATCCAAACACTTATTTAATTAACTAAATTTGCACCTAAATTATTTTGTAATATCCAAACTTGAACCTATCCAAATAATTTTCTCGAGTACCATGGAGTCTCGATCCAATTGTCATCCGTAACTAGAGTTAAAAGCGTACATATTTAATATTATTAAATTAATTTGGTCTACCTATACTTAGATATTCTTTTTAAGCTGCACATGATAAATTTATATTAAATATTATTAAATTAATATGTGAATATTACTTAGGTTGGATTTCATTTTTCTGTGAGTTTTGGGCTTTCAAATTAATTTGCAAATAAAAGAAAGGTAAAAATTAAAATGGCATGCCTTTGTTATATTTATTTCAAACTTTTATTTCCTTCTTTTATTTAATTATATTTAAATTATTTTTTAAATAAACTGTTTAAATCTAAATTTATTAGCAGCGCAGTTTATAAAAAACAATTTAATATTTTCATATATATATATATATATATATTCACTCTTACATTTTTTATTTTTATTTTTTAAAGTATTCAATATTAGATATATTAAATCTATCTATTGCAAAAGTAATATCCGCAAAGTACATTTCAAAATATCGAAATTTTTACAACTCCACTACATTGAAATAAACTTGATGTCCATTTCGTGTCTTCTTTGTTACATTATTAGAGGCTCCATTCTAGACTTAACCCTTGACTTTGTTCTCCAAAAAAAAAACTGATTAATTGCAGCATATTCAATTAATCCGAACATTCTATCTCCCTAGTGTTCGACGAATTACCAATAGAAAATAGTCTCGTCACTAAATTAGCAATAAAAAATACATTCCATTGTTAAATTAGTGATGAATTACTAATGAAATGCATGGTTCTGTCACTAAATCAACAACGGATTACCGACAAAACTTATGTCTATTGCTGAATTAGTGACGAATTAATGGTCCGTCACTAAATTAGCAACGGATTTACAACGAATTGGTGGTTCGTCACTAAATTAGCAATAGATTTACCAACGGACACCAATCTGTCACTAAATTAGAGACAGATTTACCAACAGATTGGTGGTCTGTCACTAATTTAGCGACGGATTTGTGGTCCATCGCTAATTTAGCAACGAATTTGTTGACAGAACTTATGTCCATCGCTGAATCAACAATGGATTACCAACAAAAAGTTTGTCCATCGTTGAATTAGCGACGAATTGCCAACGAATTGTTGTCCGTCGCTAATTTAGCAACAGATTGCTATCCGTCGCTGAATTGGTGATGGATTTAGCGACAGATTACTGTCTGTCGCTAAATCAGCGACAGTTACCAACGAAAAGTTTGTCCGTCACTGAATTAGTGAGGATTACCAACGAATTGCTATTTGTTGCTAATTGAGCGATGGATTTAGTGACGGATTGCTGTCCATCGCTAATTTAGCGATGAATTTAGCGACCGATTGCTGTTCGTCGCTGATTTAGCAACAGATTGGTAATTCGTCGCTGATCCATCGTTAATCTGTTGCTAATTTTTCTGTCGTTGAAGCCTTGCATTCTTGTAGTGAACCTTTGAATTTATAATTATGATAAATTTATGAGAAGACCCTACACGACAAACTAAAGATAATTCGTTGACATTTGAGCTTGATCATCCTTTATAATTAGTATCTCCAATTAATTTTTTAAAAAAATAAAGTAAATTATTTTTAATTTTTGTGAAAAAAGTGTCTCTTCATGAATTTATACCGCGTCTATATTGCATTAATGTGTAATTACCCAAAAAATACCCACAATAACAAAATATTTGAATTCAAAATCTAAACATAAAAAGGCATTTTAAAAACAATCCACTTAAATCTAACTAAGTAAGCGTTCAGTAGGCTGGATAAAGGCCAGATAATAATATTTATCCGTTAATCCACTTTTACTAGCCGGGATAAAGGTTTTGAATAATATTCGAATATAGGTAGCCGGTTGTAGTTGCCACCACCACCGCTCATCGCCCTTGTCCACCATTGTTCGCCACCAAGTACAAAAGGTTTATTTTGCTAATTTAAAAGTTTATCCACTCTTTTATCCGGATTTAAATTAAAATATATTGAACTAGATATAATAAATCAAAATACTATTTATTCATGATATTTTATTAAAAAAAAAAAAACTGTTTTATTTAGCATTATCTTGTTTGGCTCACCAAGCGAGCTCTGACAGGACGAGGAAAGGATGATAGTTGTTAGGAATTATATTAGTACACCAAGGGTATCTTTGATTTATCAGTCACTGGGATTAGATACCTAATAGGAACCTGAACATGGGACAACCTGAAAACTATTATTGCTTTATATTTGGATTTCAGGTGGTAAACCTCATGTTTCATCTAATTTACACTAAGTTTTTTTATAACAAGGCCTTGAAGATGGTAAGTGATGGTGTCAAGAATGGAGATGGGGAGTTGATGCAACTAAAGGCACATCTAAGCCAATATGTAATGCTAGCACAAAGGCATATAAATTATTACAAAACCTTCTCCGTCTTAATTAACTTATTCTTGTTTATAGATGTATGCCTGAAAACATTATGCTTTTTTTTTTTTTTTTTTTTTTGGTAGCATATGAGCGCCACTTCATTTTCATTATAAAAGATGATCTAATAAATTGTGAAATAAATGCTACAAATTGTACAATTTTGATTGTAAAATCAGTTTCTTTCCCATTCAGCACTGAAATTGCTAATTTTACCCCTAAATAATTGACATGTTATTTAGTATTTTTTAAATTAGTATTGAATAATGTGAATTAAATATATTAAATCATTTATTTAAAGTCAATAAATTAGTCGCGCAATAATTCCTTATAATTGGGGATTGGTATAAAGTATACAACTAAAAAAAAAGCTTTTTCTAGTTGTATTTTCTATTTCTTTTTTTCCAACATTTCATTTTTCTGTTCTATTAAAAAAAAATAAAGCAATGGAGCATGGCAAAGTCAACTCCTAATATGATATTAAAATCAACTCAAATATTAATATTTTATCCTATAGAAGTAAAGGATTTTTCTTAATAAATTTCTCTATAATTTTAATTTATGTTTTTAATATTGTGCAAGAAAATTAAAAATTTTAATTAGAGAGTACAAAAATAGTAGGAAAAAAATTCTCTCCGGTATACTTCATCCAGGGAAGGAGATACTTATTCCTCGGTACAAAAGTGGGTCATCTCACGGGAGGGCTGAACTACAAAAAGCAAAGTTCATGACACCATGCGCAATCAAAGGAAATTTCACTGGGACCTTACACGTGTCTGCAGAAAAGGTTAAGAACAAGAAATTAAAGAACAAAAAGAAAAACAAAATATTAAAAAAAGGTAGAAAATGAAGACCAAGTGATCCACGGAATAGAGTTGCATATATCTGTGGACCCACGGTGCGATATTTTCGGAAACAAAACCGGGATTGTTTTGCCGTTTCTGAAGGCGATTCATTTCTCAATAATTTCCCAGGGGGAAGAAATAACACTCCCAAGTGTCGTTGTTAACAAATTAATTAATTATAATAAAACCATTGACAAAATTTGGCAATCAAATTCCCCTTGACTTTTCTTGTCTACTTTGATCTATAATAAAACCATTGACAAAATTTGTCAATCAAATGCCCTGGACTTTCTTATCTACTTTGACCTATAATAAAATCATTGACAAAATTTGTCAACCAAATGCCCTGGACTTTTCTTATCTACTTTGACGTCCACAAATCCAAATCCCCTTTCTCGTCCTCCATCTCCCATTTGCAGCAAAATGAACCCAAGTAACCATATGCATAGTGAGTATATCAAATCTCCACAAAGACACGTGTTTAATGTTCGAGATGCAGGAGCAAGTTCTGCCAATTCGCCTCAAGGATTCTGCCGGCAATTTTCACTAGCTGAGATACAAGCTGCAACCAACAACTTTGATGATACTTTTCTCATTGGAAAAGGTGGATTTGGAAAGGTCTATAAAGGATTCATCGATGGTGGAAATGCAATTGTTGCCGTAAAGCGTTTGAACACAGATTCCAAGCAAGGAGCGGCGGAGTTTTGGGCAGAGGTCAGGACGCTTTCAACACTCCGACATTCTAATCTTGTCTCTCTTGTGGGCTATGCGGATGAGCTACGAGAGATGATACTTGTTTACGACTACCTGGCTAATGGGACTCTCGCAGATCATCTGTACAAGTTTAATAGAAAAGCAGTTGCAGTGGATCATCTCACTTGGGAACAAAGGCTCAATATTTGCATTGGTGCGGCCCAGGGATTAAACTATCTTCATACAAATACTAAGCAAATTGTCATACACAGGGACGTGAAGAGCACAAACATTCTTTTAGATGAGAATTGTGTGCCAAAGATCTCGGATTTTGGGTTGTCAAAAATCGGCATCACGAGTCATTCGCAAACCCATATCAGCACCGAGGTTAGAGGCACGTTTGGGTATTTGGATCCAGAGTATTTTTTAACCCGTAAAGTAACCATGAAATCTGATGTTTATGCCTTTGGTGTGGTGTTGCTCGAAGTCCTATGTGGGAGGCCAGCAGTGGATTTAAGATATGAGGATGATGATGATAGGTCTAGTCTAGCACTATGGGCTCAGCAGTGTATCAAAAGGGGAGCTCTCGACAAAATTGTTGATCCTTCCTTAATGGGTCAAATATCGTCCAATAGCCTCGAGTTATTTGGGGAAATTGCTAACAAATGCATACATAGTCATCCCAGAGGAAGGCCTACCATGGCCGAAGTGGTGGCAAGCCTTGAGCTCGTCTTGGCTTCCGAACAAGATCACCTCAATGCAAGGGAATGGTAAGCAATGTAGTTCCAAGTATTTCACGCCTCTTAGCTAAAGGTATTCAAGTAATGAGACCAAACAAGTGGAGAGAATACTATACCAAAAATGAACTACCATTGCGCTTGAAGAAGGATCATTTCCCAAATATTGGCCTTAAATTGTTTCGTTGTTTCTCATTATCAGAGATTCAAGCAGCCACTAACAATTTTCATGAGCATCAAGTGGTGACTTGCACCTATTTTTGCAACATATATAGAGGCTTCATAGATGAAGGAAATGTTAAAGTGTCGATTAAAAGGTGGAGAAGGGAAGCAAGTAAAACAGAATTGGAGTTGTTCAAGATGGAGGTCCAAGTGCAAGCCCAGCTTCGTCACTTACACATCCTTTCTTTGATTGGATATTACTGCAGCAAAGATGAGTTGATCCTAGTGTACGAGTTCACGCCTCACGGCTCCCTCTATGATCATCTCTACACAAGGAAAAATGATTCTCTTCCATGGAAAAAACGGCTTGAGATTGGCATAGGTGTGGCACGAGGATTGCATTACCTCTACTCTGGTATAAAGCAAACTATCATCCATCAAAATCTCAACGCTAGTGCTATTCTATTAGATGAGAATTGGGAAGCAAAACTTGTGGGCTTTGAATACTCCACAATAGTCCCTACCAATATCTCTAGAACAAGCCCCAAAAACATTGTCAGATGCCAGGTTGGATATTTGGATCCAGAATGTCTTGAAAGTGGGATTTTAACTGTAAAGTCAGACGTCTACTCATTTGGGGTCATCTTATTGGAATTATTATGTGGTAGAAAGCCAATGATTGTTTCTCAAGATGAGGATAAGGTTAATTTAGTCCGTTGGTTCAAGACTAACTTGGAACTAGATGTGATGGATCAAATTGTCGATCCATGCTTAATGGACAAAATAGCACCAGAATGTTTGAAGGAATATGTGAATATTGCAACAAATTGTGTGAGAGATGAAGGGATTGAACGGCCAACAATTGAGGATGTTCTGGGAAGCCTTGGAAGTGCTTTACAACTACAGCAAAATTGGGAATATTCGAAAAAGTTGTGTGATGAAATTGACAAAAACAGAGATGTTGGAGGAATGAGTTTTGTGAGCTTAGGAGATTCCGATAATTGCTCTTCTAATCTTGCTCGTTAGCAATTCCAAGAAAAAGAAGTTTGTAGTTTTTGGAATGAATGTCAAAGTTCTGTTTATTACAAATCGAGGGTGTGATAGAGCAATTGCATTTAATTTCATCAACAATTCTTAATAAGTGATAACATATAAAATAATACAATGTATGAATTATTAGAACTGTTAAATCTAGAAATATTTTTAAACAAAATTTATAAACAAACTGAAAAAGTTAAAAAATTTAATTAGAGAATACAAAAATAGTAAAAAAAAAAATCTCTCCGATACTTCCTCCAAGGAAGGAGATTCTTATTCCTCAATACGAAAGTGGGTCATCTCACAGGAGAGCTGAACTACGAAAAGCAAAGTTCTTGACATCACGCGCAATAAAAGGAGATTTCACTGGGAACCTTACACGTGTCTGCAAAAAAAGTTAAGAACAAGAAAGTAAAGGATAAAAAGAAAACAAAATATTAAAAAAATGGTAGAAAATGAAGACCAAGTGATCGACGGAATAGAGTTGCAAATATCCGTGGACCCACGATGCGATATTTTCATAAACAAAACAGAGATTGTTTTTGCCATTTCTTAAGATGATTCATTTCAGAGTAATTTCCCAGGGGAAGACATAACACTCCCAAGTGTCGTTGCAAACAAATTAATTAATTATAATAAAACCATTGACAAAATCCTCTAGATTTGTCTTATCTACTTTGGTCTCCACAAATCCCAAATCCCCTATCTCGTCCTCCATCTCCCATTTGCAGCAAAACGAACCTAAGTAACCACATGCATAATGAGTATATCAAATCTCCACAAAGACACATGTTTAATGGTCGAGATGCAAGAGCAAGTTCTGCCGATTCACTTGAAGGATTCTGCCGGCAATTTTCACTAGCTGAGATACAAGCTGCAACCAACAACTTCAATGGTACTTTTCTTATTGGAAAAGGTGGATTTGGCAAGGTCTATAAAGGATTCATCGATGGTGGCACTGCAATTGTTGCCATAAAGTGTTTGAACGCAGAGTCCAAGCGAGGAGCCCAGGAGTTTTGGGCTGAGGTCAAGGCGCTTTCCAAACTCCGACACCCTCATCTTGTCTCTCTTGTGGGCTATGTGGATGAGTTTCAAGAGATGATACTTCGCAAATGGCAATATCGTAGATCATCTTTACAAGTTTAGTAGAAATGGAACTGAAGTCGATAATTTCACTTGGAAACAAAGGCTCAATATTTGCATTAGTGCAACCCGGGAATTGGACTATCTCCACACAAACAACAAGCAAAGTGTCATACGTAGGGATGTGAAGAGCGCAAAGATTCTGTTAGATGAGAATTGGATGCCAAAGTTTTCGAATTTTGGGTTGTCAAAAATCAGCATCACAAGTCATTCGTAAACTCATGTTAGCATAAAGGTTAGGCACTTTTGAGTGTTTGGAACCGGAGTATTTCTTGACATGTAGACTAACTATGAAATCTGATGTTTACGCCTTTGGTGTGGTATTGCTCAAGGTGTTATGTGGAAGGCCAGCAGTGGATTTAAGATATGACGATGATGATGATGATGATGATGATGATGATGATGATGATGATGATGAAAGTCTAATTTAGCACTATGGGCTCAGCGCTATATCAAAAAGGAGTCTTTGACAAAATTGTTGATCCCTCCTTAAGGGGCCAAATATCACCTTCTAGTCTCAAGTTATTTGGGGAAATTGCAAACAAACGCATACATAGTCATCCTTGAGGAAGGCCTACTATGGCTGAAGCAATGGCAAGCCTGGCGCTTGTCTTGGGTTTCGAGCAAGACTCATCTCAATGCAAGGGAATGATAACTAAGGTAATTCCAAGTATTTCATTCCTGGTAACTAAAGGTATTCAAGTGATGGGGCAAAGCAAGTGGAGAGAATACTATCGCAAAAATGAACTACCGTTGTGTTGGAGCAAGGATTCTTTTGCAAACATTGGCCTTAAATTGTTTCGTCATTTCTCATTATTAGAAATCCAAGCAATGATTGACATTTTTCACAAACAATAAATGGTGTGCCACAACTCTTTCTATAACGTGTACAGAGGCTTCATAAATGAGGGAAATCTTGAAGGAGTGAGTAAAGGGTGGAGAGGTCAAGCAAAAAAAAAAAACAGAGAACTGGAGTTGTCAAGGTGGGGGTCCAAGTGTAAGTCCATCTCCATAACTTACAAGTTGTTTCTTTGATTGGATACTACTACAACAAAGATGAGCCGATCCTAATGTACAAGTTCATGCATCATGGCACCCTCAAACAATGTCTTTACACTAAAAAGAAAGATTCTTTTCCGTGGAAAAAGTGTCTTGAGATTGGCATAGGCATCGCACAAGAATTGTATTACCTCTACTTTGGTACAAAGCAAACCATCATCTATCAATACCTCAATGCTAGTACCATTATATTAGACAAGAATTGGGTTGCAAAAGTTGTGGGTCTTGAGTTCTTCACAATAAACCCTACCAATGTCTCCAGTACAAGCCCTAACGACATTGTCCCATGCAAGGTGGGATATTTGGATGTAGAATGCCTTGAAAGTAGAATGTTAACCATAAAATCAGATGTATACTCATTTGGGGTCATCTTGTTGGAATTACTATGCAGTAGAAAGCCAATGATTGTGTCTCACAACGAGGATGAGGTGAATTTAGTTTGTTGGTTCAAGACACATATGGAAATGGGTATGGTAGATGAGATCTTCGATCCATGCCTAGCCAACAAAATAGCACCGGAATGTTTGAGGGAATATGTGAATATTGCAGCGAATTGTACGAGGGATGCAGGGATCGAACGGCCCACTATTGAGAATGTTTTGGGAAGCCTCAAGAGTGTTTACAACTGCAGCAAAACTAGAAATATTCTAAAAAGTTATGTGATGAAATTGACAAAAACAAGAAAGATGTTGGAGATGATTCCGATTATTTCTCTTCTAATATTGTTCGTTAGCAATTTCAAGAAGAAGAAGCTTGTAAATTTTGGAATGAATGTCAAATTTCTGTTTATTCCAAATTAAGGGTATGATAGAGCAATTGCATTTTATTTCTTCAACAATTCTTGACAAGTGATAATATATCAAAATATTATAATTTATGAATTACTGAAACCTTTAAATCTGCACAGGTTTTTTTTAAAAATTATAAACAAACTGAAAAAGTTAAAAATGAGGAGGAGAAATGGATGATCTGGGAGTGAATGACTGGAGAACTCATTGGTGCTTGCAAACCAAGCAATAGACTAAGATAGTTTGAAAAGTACGAGCATTGTAAACCAGGCCACGTATTTGGGTAGCTATACAATTACGTGCATGAGACGAGAATTGACGATATTTATATTTTCAGAGTCAATTAAAAGGTAATTCAATTTAACAGCTTTAGGATCGAAGCTATGGGTAGTCAAATTTCTAGGTTGAATTAACATTCGTTACAGTATTTTAAACTTATTAATTTTTTTAATTGTCCATCAAACAGAGTTCAAAGATTAAATTCTAAAAATTTAAATTTAGAATTCCGAAAAAAATTAAATCAATTCCTTTCTGTTACAAATTTTTCAAACTCTTAATAATATCTAACAATAATAAAATTAAATTTTTAAATTTTCATAATTTCAAATATTTTTTATAAAAAAACCCTAACTTAATCTAAATACACAAATTTTTAATCACAGGCTCTGTGCAAAGATATCAATTTTTTTTGACATATTGAGAGATGGAGGAGGGGAGGGTCAAGAATTAAAATTCTAATATTTATATAAATTTTATAAGTGTTTTTGTCCTTGAGTCAAGTTTTGGATTCAAAATATTTAACCCGTTCGGCACAATTGGAGGGGTACTAAACATAAATACTAATGACATAAAATTAAGAGCACAAAATTATTATTTTTTATTTTTTAAAAAAAAGTTTATTTACCTCCAAACCCTATTTGTTTTCAGATGAAATCAAAAGTAAAATCCAATATTAACCTCTTTAGGGCAAAGCAACTAAATAAGGGTGTTGTCCGGATAAGTCGAAAATTTAATTTTAATTTTAATTTTCATGAATTTTGATTTTTAACTTTTCTTGATGTTTGATTTAGCACGAAAATCTGTTGAAGACTCATGAAGAAAGTGAAAAAAAAGAAATTCAACCTTATGAAAATTTAATTTTATTATTTGGTGACTCTTGACTTTTTTATAAAATTTTTAAATTTTTTAACATATAGATGGAATATAATGGGATAACAAAATAATAAATTATTTATTATTTTAACATCTGTATATATTTTTTGGTGACACAAAAAAATGAAATATAAGATCCATTTCTTTAAATTAAATCAAAAATCAGAAATAACCAAGATTTTTTCTTCTAAATTTAAATATTACTAATGCAAAAAAATTTTAGACGAAACATACCCCACGAATTCAAAGCATGGTATTAACAGCTTGAATATTTCCTTAAAGCATCCGAAGTATTGACATATCAAATATGCTTGATGTTATCGGTTTAATGAAAGCCCAAAATTTTTTTACCTTTATTAAGCCAGGATTTGGCTATTTTTTCCTCCAAATTAGTAAGCCTCCCTAATTTTCAATTATCTACGTTTTAGTGTTTCGGCTTTTTCTGGTCTCTGAAACCATCACACGCGCCCAAGGACTTTTCCCGCGCATGTTTGGCTTACTAGCCACGCGCCGCACGCACTGCCGGACTCACGCGGGCTTCTCTGTTTGCGAGCGTGTGTGCACACGCGTCTCCTTCAACCTCAGGCCTCCCTGGTTGGCCCTTTCTGCAACTGGTTATGGGTTCTCCTAATGAACGTTGAGGCTCAGATCCCTGGATACCCAAAAAAAATCCTTTTTTCGAGCACACCAAAACCCTGAACAGAAGTCACCCAAACCCAAAGCACAATTCAAACCCAAAACACACACATTCACACGCTATTTACAGAGGCTCACCCAGCGTCAAACCTTTCATTACTCTTTCCAGCCCTCGTGCTAATCTCTTAAGCACGATTCTCTCTCTCTCTCTCTCTCTGAGCTCCTCACCTTCGTCCTCTCTCTAGATCGAAGGTTTTTCTACTCGATCTCTCCCTAGATCGAATGAATCTCCTATCAGTCTAGCTATGGCCCTCTTATAGAGCTTCAAATCTTAGCTCTAATATTTCAAATAACATCCCTATCCGATGGAATTCTATCCTATCTCAATCTAGTTTTTAAATCTTTTATCCCGATCACACAAATCCAAACCGAAATCTCCTCGCGCAGAAATCTTCCCTGAACCAGATTCAATCTCCTAATCTCACTTGGATTCGGCATGAATCTGGCTCGAACTTTGACTTTGTGCAAAACCCCCTTTTCGCGAACCTCGGATCTCCGAAAATCTATCCAGCTGATACTTATCCTTCCAGATCTTCGGTTTAGTTTATCTTCTTCAGCTTCATCTGCCCTCGACGGAACCCACGATCTCTGGTCATTTGCCTCGCGAGCACTGGTTTCTGCCATTGACACTCTTGAAGCCTCAACATGTTCAGACCCGATCGGGATCCATTTCCTGCACCTCCGACCTAGTTCGTTGTTTGCCCGATCTAGTTCCCTTTTTGGGATTGGGTTAGCCTGCCTGGTTCGGCCAGACGAGCCGACCCAACTCCACGTGTCATGGCCTGGCCCACCTACTGTTGGGCCGTTCCGGGACCCTTCTCTTCTGCTAGTCTGGGTACTGACCCGACCTAGTTCGCCCTGTTCCATGCACATGCTAGCCCAGCATTTTGCACCTTCTTATTTTGGGCCAGCCAGCCCAAACGACCCACTTCCAGCCCTTCCTGCTGTGAACTTGGCCCCAGGTTGGGCCCAAGCCCTTGGCCCAGCCTTCTTAGCCCCACAAATCTGATCCAAATTTGAATACAATTCCAAACCCAACCTAATTCCTTAGCCCAATTTGTGACCCCTTTGAATCAGACTAATTCAATCCAAAATAAGCTAACACTTATCATAGTTATCAAAAGCACGTTTTAAAACGCAAAAGTATGTGTTTTTACTCTTTTACTCATATTAAACGCTTTCGATTACACTTCAAATTTTATAAAAACTCACCTTAAAATAATAAAAATTATAAAATTATGTTTTACTAGCCGTTTTCACGCTTTTAATTATAAGTTCATAATTTTTTATTTTACTGACCGCTTTCGTCCAATGCATTATTTAATCTCTATTTCATATAGGTGAATTGATTGTATTAGTTTAATTATCTATTATTTCTTATTGATATTGTACCTATATTAACCTTATATTTGAGTATTTATGTTTTGATTATTTTAGTTTGAATTATTATTATTTTTATTTATTACTTATGAATATATATATATATATGAAGAGATTAATTGACATTTATATAAGTGTAAAATATTTATACCAAATTTTACACAATTGATTTAGTCAAATTCAATGAATGAGATTAATTATGATTATCTTCCACCATATTAATTTATAATTATTTTTCTTTTTAAAATATTAATTAATCTCATTAATTACTTTTAATCAAATCAACTGTATAATATTTGATATAAGTATTTTGCACTTATATTAGTGTCAATCATTCCCATATATATATGTGTGTGTGTGTATCAAGTAAAATTTTTGTTTTTACGCTTCACTTTTATATTTTCACTTTTACAAAGTTCAAATGCTTTTGCATAAAAATTTGTTTTTGATAACCTTAATACACACACACACACACACACACACACACACACACACACACTGGAGTGCTAGGAGTGCTGTTTCATTTGATGGTTATCCAATCTTTGAACTTATCCATTTTAATAATTGCCTAAACTTCTTAAAATATTTCCAAAATCGGTGGATTGACTCTACCCAACTAGGTTAAATTTGGTTTCCTTATGTATTAATTAGAAGAAGAAATTGTGTGTTACTCTTATTTTCTAGTTAAAAAGATTATCAGTAATCCATACTAAAATTATAATGATTTTTTTTTAACAGAGAGAGGATTGTGTAATCTTTTTGAAAAGGCATTTCATGTAAAAATTCTACTAGTCATTCCCTCTCTCCCTGATTTTAGGGACAAGCACTGGATTTTCTTACCTACTCGCCTTTATTTATTAGTTTCGGCTCTTCCCAACAATCGAACAGCTGCTTTCATTTTAACTGTTTCTCCCAATTAAATAAGAGATTAGACATATAATTTTTTTTTAAAAAAATCTTATTTCAATCAACGGTTAGCTGCAGTCAAATTCTTGCCAGGGACACAGGAGAGGGAGGTTAAGTGGAGCTTTAATAGAGTAAAGACAATTAATGGGAAGATTAGAAGATTTGATTGTCTTTCCTTTCTCTCAACTATAGTTATCTTTCTTATTGTTTGCTCTATTATCTCATACTTTCCTGCATGACATTTCCTCTTAAATTCCTTTCAATTAGTCCTTTCAGTCTTTAATTTTGAACCCAGTTCTTTTAATTTTGTCAACTTAGCCCTTCAAAATATTTAATTAACTCCCCATTCTCTTATCTCATTGCATTGAGTCTTTGAAAATCTTAAATTAACCCGTAATTGTTCTAATTTTTGCAATTACTCCCTAATTTCTTTAATCAACTCCTAATTTATACAAAATTACAAATTTACCATATTATTATTTTACTTGCTTGTTTATTTTTATTATTACTATTATTTATATATATATTTTTTAAGGTTTGGATTGTTACACAACCCCTTCGAATGATACTATTTTTATTATTTATAACTCAAATTACTAAACTATACCCTTCAGCTGCCGCCCATTGCCGGTCATAGTCGCTAGGGTGTTCACGGGTTTGGTTCGGTTCGGTTTTGGACCTAAACCAAACTGAACCGAGCATGTCAGTTTGGTATTTCACAAGACATGATCGGGTTTTTTTTTCAAAAAACCGAACAAAACCAAACCGACTTGAGTCGGTTTGGTTCGATTGACATGATCGGTTTTTTATTTTTTTAAATTTATAAAAAATTTAATATAAATATAAATATATATAATACAAATATAAATATATATAATATAATATATACATATAAATATATAAAATGCAATATAAATATAAATATATATATAATATCTATATAATATATATATATTAACAAATAGGGTTGATTCAATTCAGTTCGGTTTTATTTTGGGACAAAACCGAAACTGAACCAAACCGATCGATTTATAAAATCTTTTAACCAAATAAACTGATTGTAGTTGGTTTGGTTCGGTTTTGTGATCGGTTTGATTCAGTCTGGTTGGTTTTGTTCGGTTTTGAACACTCCTAATAGCCGCCACTATTATCACTCGTCGTTGCTGTTTGTTGATAAGAACAAAAGGTTTATTTTGGTAATTTATAAATTTATCTAGTTCTTTATCCAAATTTGAATTAAAACATACTATACGAGTTATAATAATTCAAAACACTATTTATTCAAAATACTTTATCAAAAAAACTTCCTTATTTAGCATTATCTTGTTTGACCTACTGAGCAAGCTTTAAGAGGATAAGGAAAGGATAATAGCTTTTAGGAATTATATTAGTACACCAACGGTGTCTTTGATTTACAGGAAACATCCAAAGAAAGGGACTAGATATCTAATAGGAACCTGGACGGGGGACAACTTGAAATCTATTATTGGTTTATATTTGAATTTCGGGTGGTAAATCTCGTATTTTATCTAATTTGCACTAAGTTTTTATATAACAAGGCTTTGAAGGTGGTAAGTGTTGGTGTCAGGAATGGAGGTGTGGAGTTGATGCAACTAAAGACACATCTAAGCCAATATAGAGCGCTAGCACAAAGGCATATAAATTATTACAAAACCTTCTCCACATGTCTTAATTAACTTGTTTTTGTTTTATAGATGTGTGCCTGAAAACATTATGCTTTTTTTTTTCTTTTAGCATATGAGCGCTACTTCATTTTTATTATAAAAAATGATCTAATAAATTGTGAAATAAATGCTAGTAATTGTATAATATTGATTGTAAAATCAATTTCTTTCCCATTTAGTACTGAAAATGCTAATTTTACCCTTAAATCAATAGACATGTTGAATAGACATGTTGAATAATGTGTATTAAATAGATTAAATTATTAATTTAAACTCAATAAATTAATATGACAATAATTCCTAATAATTCGGAATCGTTACAAAATATTCAATAGAAAAAGCTTTTCTAGTTGTATTTTCTATTTCCTTTTTCCCAACATTTTATTTTTTCTATTGAAAAAAACAAAGCAGTCGACCATGGCAAAGTCAATTCCTAATATAATATTAAAATCAATTCAAATATTAATGTTTTATCTCCTAGAAGTAAAAGTTTTTTCTTAATAACTATCATTACATATCATATTACGTGTGTAATTAAATCAACAAATAATGTCCTTATGGTGATGCAAAAATACACAAAAAGCAATTTATATGTTGTTATCTTCAAGCATATCCATACGCGGAAAATGAATGTGAATTATAAACTATTTTTCCTATATTACAATTTATAAATCACTAATTATATAAGTTATTATCAATGAGTTAGAATTGTTTTCACAGTTTAGAAAACCCTCATCAACTATCATAGGAATTGCAACCATAAATTTGTGTTTTTTTTTTTCTCTCTATAATTTTAATTTTATGCTTTTAATATTGTGCAAGAAAATTAAAAATTTTAATTAGAGAATAAAAAAATAGTAAAAATAATAAATCTCTCAGGTACTTCCTCCAGGGAAGGAGATTCCTATTTCTCAACATGAAAGTGGGTCATCTCACAGGGGAGCTGAACCACAGAAAGCGAAGTTCATGACATCATGCATAATGAAAGGAAATTTCACTGGGACCCTTGCACGTGTCCGCAGAAAAAGTTAAGAACCAGAAATTAAAGGATTAAAAAAAAATTAAAAAATGGTAGAAAACGAAGACCAAGTGATCCTCGGAATAGAGTTGCAATTATCTGTGGACCCACGATGCCATATTTTCAAAAACAAAACAGAGATTGTTTTGTCGTTTCTTAAGATGATTCATTACTCAGTAATTTGCCAGGGGGAAGGAATAACACTCCCAAGTGTCGTTGTTAACAAATTAACTAATTATAATAAAACCATTGACAAAATTTGTCAATCACATGCCTCTGGACTTTTCTTACCCACTGTGATCTCCACAAATCCCAAATCCCCTATCTCGAAAATTTGTCAATCACATGCCTCTGGACTTTTCTTACCTACTTTGATCTCCACAAATCCCAAATCGCCTATCTCGTCGTCCTCCTCCCATTTGCAGCAAAACGAACCAAACTAACCATATGCATAGTGAGTATATCAGATCTCCACAAAGACCCATGTTTAATGGTCGGGATGCAGGGGCAAGTTCTGCAGATTCGCCTCAAGGATTCTGCCGGCAATTTTCACTAGCTGAGATACAAGCAGCAACCAACAACTTCGACGATACTTTGCTCATTGGAAAAGGTGGATTTGGCAAGGTCTATAAAGGATTCATTGATGGTGGCGCTACAATTGTTGCCATAAAGCGTTTGAACGCAGAGTCCAAGCAAGGAGCTCAGGAGTTTTGGACTGAGGTCAAGGCGCTTTCCAAACTCCGACACCCCAATCTTGTCTCCCTTGTGGGCTATGCGGATGAGTTCCAAGAGATGATACTTGTTTACGACTACCTTGCAAATGGCAATCTCGCAGATCATCTCTACAAGTTTAGTAGAAAAGGAATTGAAGCCGATAATCTCACGTGGGAACAAAGGCTCAATATTTGCATTAGTGCAGCTCGGGGATTGGACTATCTCCACACAAATAACGAGCTAAGTGTCATACACAGGGACGTGAAGAGCACAAATATTCTGTTAGATGAGAATTGGACGCCTAAGATTTCGGATTTCGGATTGTCCAAATCAGCATCACAAGTCATTCACAAACTCATGTCAGCACAGAGGTTAGAGGCACGTTTGGGTATTTGGATCCAGAGTATTTCTTAACTCGTAGACTAACCATGAAATCTGATGTTTACGCATTTGGGGTGGTGTTGCTCGAGGTGCTATGTGGGAGGCCAGCAGTGGATTTAAGACATGATGATGATGATGATGATGAAAGGTCTAGTCTAGCACTATGGGCTCAGCGGAGTATCAAGAAGGGAGCCCTTAACAAAATTGTTGATCCCTCCTTAAGGGGTCAAATATCACTGTGTTGTCTCAGGTTATTTGGGGAAATTGCAAGCAAATGCATACATAGTCATCCTAGAGGAAGGCCTACTATGGCTAAAGTGATGGGAAGCCTTGAGCTCGTCTTGGCTAGAGAGCAAAACTCACCTCAGTGTGAGGGAATGATAACCAAGCTACTTCCAAGTATTTCACACCTTGTAGCTAAAGGTATTCAAGTGATGGGTCCAAGCAAGTGGAGAGAATATTATCCCAAAAATGAACTACCATTATGTTTGAGCAAGGATCCTTTTGTAGACATTGGCCTTAAATTGTTTCGTCATTTTTCATTACCAGAAATCCGAGCAATAACTAACAATTTTCACAAGCAGCGAATGTTGTACCACAATTCTTTTTGTGACCTGTACAAAGGCTTCATAAATGGGGAAAATCTTGAAGTAGCGATTAAAAGGTGGAGAGGGGAAGCAAGCAATAGAAAATTGGAGTTGTTGAAGGAGCAAGTCCAACTGCAAGCCCATCTCTGTCACTTACACCTCCATTCTTTGATTGGATATTGCTGCAACAAGGATAAGCAGATCCTAGTGTACGAGCTCATGCATCGCGGCTCCCTCTACCAATGTCTCTACACAAGGAAAAATGATTCTCTTCCATGGAAAAAGCGTCTTGAGATTGGCATAGGCATCGCACGGGGATTGCATTACCTTCACTCTGGTACAAAGCAAACCATCATCCACCAAAACCTCAATGCTAGTACCATTCTATTAGACAAGAATTGGGTCGCAAAAGTTGCAGGTCTTGAGTTTTCTACAATATACCCTGCCAATATCTCCAGTACAAGCCCCAACGATATTGTCCCAAGCAAGGTGGAATATTTGGATCCAAAATGTCTTAAAAGTGAGATGTTAACTGTAAAATCAAACGTATACTCATTTGGGGTCATCTTGTTGGAATTATTATGCGGTAGAAAGCTAATGATTATGTCTCAAAATGAGGATAAGGTGAATTTAGTTTGTTTGTTCAAGACTAATTTAGAAATGGGTACGATAGATGAGATCCTCGATCCATGCCTTGCCAACAAAATAGCGCCAGAATGTTTGAGGGAATACATGAAGATTGCAGCAAATTGTGTGAAGGATAAGGGGATCGAACGGCCTACTATTGAGGATGTTTTAGGAAGACTCATGGGAGCCTTGCAGCTGCAACAAAATTGGGAATATTCTAAAAAATTGCATGATGAAATTGATAAAAACAGGGAAGATGTTGGAGGAATGAGTGTTGTGAACTTAGATGATTCCGATTATTTCTTTTCTAATCTTGTTCGTTAGCAATTTCAAGAAGAAGAAACTTGTAATTTTTAGAATGAATGTCGAAGTTCTATTTATTCCAAATTGAGGGTATGATAGAGCAATTGCATTTCATTTCTTCAACAATTCTTACCAAGTTATAATATATAAAATAATATAATGTATGAATTACTAAAACCTTTAAATCTGGAAAGGTTTTTCTAAAATTATAAACAAATTAAAAAAGTAAAAAAATGGGGAGGAGAAATCAATGATCTGGGAGTGGATGACTGGAGAACTTATTGGTGCTTGTAAACCAAGCAATAGACTAAGGCAATTTGAAAAGCACGAGTATTGTAAACTAGGCCACGTGTGTGGGTAGCTGCACAATTACGTGCGTGAGATGAGAATTAACCATCTTTACATTTTCAAAGTGAATAAAAAGGTAATTCAATTTAACGGTTTTAGGACCGGAGCTAAGGATAGTCAAATTTTCTAGGTGGAGTCAACATTAGGCACAGTATTTTGAACTTATTAATTTTTTTAATTGTCCATGAAACAGAGTTCAAAGATTAAATTCTAAAAATTTAAATTCTGAATTCTGAAAAAAAATTAAACTAATTCCTTTTAATTTCAGAATTTTTGAACTCTTATAAATGTCAAACAATCGTAAAATTATATTTCTAAAATTTTGATACTACCCGTGGCTCCATAATTTCAATTGTTTTTAAAGAAACCCAACTTAATCTAAATACACAAATTTTTAATCGCAGGCTTTGTGCAAAAATATCAATTTTTTGACATACTGAGGGATGGAGGAAAGGAGGGCCAAGAATCAAAATTCTAAATTTTATATAAATTTTATAATTGTTTTAGTACTTGAGTCAAGTTTTGGATTCAAAATATTCCCTTCGGCACAATTGGAGGGATAATAGGCATAAGTACTAATGACATAAAATTAAGAGCACCGAATTATTATTTTTGTTTTTTCATTTTAAAAAGTTTATTTACCGCCAAGGCCTATTTGTTTCCAGATGAAATTAAAAGTAAAATCCAATATTGATCTCTTTAGAGTAACTAAATTAAACTTTTTAGAGACTCGATACAGAGTGAGGCAAGATAGATTTTTTTTGGGACTATTTCAAGAAGTCATACACGTGGTAGTACGACTTTCTGAGATCACATAAAAATTTAATTTTCTATTCAGTGAAAAGTAATGATGTGATTTTTAAAAAATTTAAAAATATGTTTATACCCAAATTAAATAATATTTTTCTTCTCCCATTTCCATTTCTTTACAGCTTCAGCTTCCTACAGGCTGAATGATTTAAATGAAAATTAAATTTTTATAATTTTATTTTTAAATTCTTTCAAAACTAATAACTGTTCTTTACTTAAAATGTTCTAATATAAAAATTATCTGACAAAATATAACAAATATAAATAAATTATTGTGGAAAAAAAACCTAAAATATACTTGCTTATCTATGGCATACTACAAATAGCTGTTTTTTTTTTTTTTTTTTTTTTTTTTTTTTTTTTTTTTTTTTGCATGTGAAAAAAGTGAAAAATTCAGTTTTAGTTTTAAGCTCAAAAAATTTAATAAATTGGTATGATACAAATTTTATTTAAAAAAATTGTACAAAATTGAAAATTATTCACTCCTAACGAAGAGCCTGCATTGGACAAAATAGGGCAAGAACCAAGAACCCTCAGCAGAGGACATAAAGAGAAACAGAGGATGAAGTTTTAGAGAGCGTGACTGTCTGTCTTTTCAGTAATCAAGAGGCATAGAAGCCTCGGCAACAAGATTACGAGATCTGGCAGGATGAACGATGGGTTCTCCAATCTAGGGGCTGCAGTGACTAAAAGGCATTTTAGCAAATGGTACATGGGTTCTATCATAATAAAGTAAACCACGTACCAGTGCATGCTCTATGACGAATTAGAACGAAAATGCACGGCGTTCTGGCATGCGCATCCCAAACTGGGAAGTTGAGCGAATTTGGTAACTATGAGATGGGGGGAGTTGAGCGAATTTGGTAACTATGAGATGGGTAATGGAGCAAGATGATGGAAATGGGGAAGTGAGATGGGAATTGAGCCTTAAATGTTTCAATACATGGCTGAGATAAAATCAAAATTAATTTGGTAGTATGGATAGGAAATATGAGATAAAATGCAACCATTCTGAGTCAAATGTTAGAAATTAAGAGGAAATAGGTTTGCTTAAGATGATGTAATGGCAATGTATAGATATTGCATATATATATATATATATATTTTTTTTTTTTTTAATTGTCAGAGGAGTGACAGCCGTAAAATTGTGTTTTTCTTTTCTCTAAAATTTTAATTTTATGCTTTTAATACAGTGCAAGAAAATTAAAAATTTCAATTAGAGACTACAAAAATAGAAGAAAAAGAAAAACAAATCTCTCTAGTACTGCCGCAAGGGAAGAGAAATTTTACTGGGACTCTTACACTTGTCTGCAGAAAAAGTAAGAACGAGAAATTATAGAATTAAAAGGAAAAGAAAATATTAAACAATGGTAGAAAACGAAGACTAAATGATCACGGAATAACTTGCATACATCTGTAGACTACTATCCAAGAATTCCATAAACAAAACAGAGATTCGAAAAGCAGAGGATTATTTGACGTTTTTTAAGATGATTCATTTCTGAGAAATTTCTCAAGCGGAAGAAATAAAATTGCCAATTGTCGTTGTCAGCGAATGAATTAATTATAGTAAACCCATTGACAAGCTTTGTCAACAAAATGCATATGGACTTTGCTTACCAACTCATCTCCAAAAATCTCACGTCCCAGATCTCTTCCTTCATCTCCCTTTAGCAGCAAAACGAACCCAAGTAACCATATGCATGGTGGATGCACCAGAGACACGGTAAAATCAACACAAAGACGCATGTTTAATGATTGGGATGCAGGTGCTGGTTCCGCAGATCCGCCTCATGGATTCTGCCGGCAATTTTCACTAGCTGAGATACAAGCTACAACCAACAACTTCGATGATACTTTTTCTTATTGGAAAAGGTAGATTTGGCAAGGTCTATAAAGGATTCATCAATGGTGGAGCTGCAATTGTTGCCATAAAGCGTTTGAATAGAGAGTCCAAGCAAGGAGCACTAGGGTTTTGGGCGGAGGTCTAGACACTTTCCACACTCAGACATCCTCATCTTGTCTCTTGTGGTCTATGTGGAAGAGTTACGAGAGATGATACTTGTTTACGACAGCCTGGCTAATGGGACTCTCGTAGATCATCTCTACAAGTTGAGTAGGAAAAAGAATTGAAGTGGATCATCTCAATTAGGAACAAAGGCTCAATATTTGCATTGGTGTGGCTTGAGGATTGGACTATCTTCATACAAATACCAAGCGAATTGTCATACACAGGGATGTGAAGAGTACAAACATTCTTTTAGATGAGAATTGGTTGCCAAAGATCTCGGATTTTGTGTTGTCCAAAATCGGCATCACAAGCCATTGGCAAACCCAAATCAACACAAAGGTTAGAGGCACATTTGGATATTTGGATTCAGAGTATTTCTTAACCGTAGACTAATAATGAAATTTGATGTTACGCCTTTTGGAGTGGCATTGCTTGAGGTGCTATGTGGGAGGCCAGCAGTGGATTTAAGATACGAGGGTGATGATGATAAGTTTAGTCTAGCACTATAGACTTAGTGGTGTATCAAAAAGGCATCTCTCGACAAAATTGTTGATCCTTTCTTAAGGGCCAAATATTGCCTCATAGTCTCAAGTTATTCGGGGAAATCACTAGCAAATGCATACATAGTCATCCTAGAGGAAGGCCTACTATGGCCAAAGTGGTGGCAAGCCTTGAGCTCACCTTGGCTTCTGAGCAAGACTCACACCAATGCAAGGAAATGATAGCCAAGCTAGTTCGATGTATTTTCCACCTTGTGGCTAAAGGTATTGAGGTGATGGGGCAAAGCAAGTGGAGAGCGTACTGTCTCAAAAATGAACTACCATTACATTTGAAGAACATTGGCATTAAAATGTTTCGCCATTTCTCATTATCAGAATTCGGTTAGCAACTAACAATTGTCATGAGCAGAAAATGTTGGGCCGCAACTCTTAATGCAATATATACAAAAGCTTCATAAATGGGGGAAGTCTTGAAGTAGCAATTAAAAGGTGGAGAGGGGAAGCAAGCAAAAGAGAATTAGAGTCGTTCAAGGTGGAGGTCCAAGTGCAAGCCTAACTTCATCACTTACATGTCGTTTCTTTGATTGGATACAACTACAACAAGGATGAGCTGATCCTAGTGTATAAGTTCATGCATTGCGGCTCCCTCTACTAATGTCTGTACACAAGGAAAAAAAGATTATCTTCCATGGAAAAAGCGTCTTGAGATTGGCATTGCTGTGATGCGAGGATTGCATTACCTCCACTGGTACAAAGCAAACCATCACCCACCACAACCTTAATGCTTATACTATTGTATTAGACAAAAATTGGGTTGCAAATCTTGGGGGCTTTTAATTTTGCAAAATAGTCCCCCTGAATGTCTCCAGCACAAGCCCTAACAACCTTGTCCCAAGCAAGGCTGGATATTTAGATTCAGAATATCTTGAAAGTGGGATTTGAATAGTAAAATCAAACATATACTCATTTGGGTCATCTTGCTAATTACTTTGTGGTAGAAAGCCTATAATTGTTTCTCAGGATGAGGATGGTGAATTTAGTCCGTTGGTTCAAGTGTCACTTGAAACTGGATATGGTGGATGTGATTGTTAATCCATGCCTAATGGACAAAACAGTGTCGGAGCATTTGAGAAAATATGTGAAGATTGCAGCGAATTGTGTGAGGAATAAGGGGATCGAACAACCAACTATTAAGGATATTTTGGGAGGCCTCAAGCTTGCCCTGCAGCTGCAACAAAACTAGGAGTATCCTAAAGAAATTATGTGATGAAATTGACAAAAACAAGGGAGATGTTGGAGGAATGAGTTTTGTGATCTTAGAAGATCCTAATTATTTTTCTTCTAATTTTGCTCTTAGCAATTCCAAGAACAAGAAGGTTGTAATTTTAGGAATGAGTATCAAAGTTTTGATTGTTTCAAATTGAGTCTATAATTCATCAATGGCATTTCATTTCATTAATATTTCTTAACAAGTGATAATATATAAAATAATATAATATTTTAGAATTATCAATGAAGTAGATTTTAATCCGAATCTAATACATAATTCATTCGATTATTTAAGATTATTAACTACTAAAAAATTTGCTGGATATCATCTGATTATAATAATTTGTAATCCAAAGTAAACAGAGTGAATAAGGATTTTATCTAATTTACTCAATCAAATATCCAAATCTATGTGTGTATATATATACACACACAGATATATGTATATTATATATATTATTTATAATATATAATATTATAAAAATGAAAATATAGATTTGATTTATCAGATTTTACTTAATAAATTATTTTTTCTTAAAAATAGAAATTAAAAATATATTTTTATTTTTTATAAAAACAAAAATGGAATATATATATATATATATTAATGAATTACATTTAATTGTTATATATTATCGGCAACCAATTCTCAAATACAATATTTATGATGAATCAAATGTAGTTATATCATTGTCACGACCTGACCCTGGGCCTGTGACTAGCACTAGGATCCCCACCTTAGTCAGCCTCACAACAACACAATATACCAATAATACTCCTCTCATCAAATAAATAAATATAAATCACCATACAATATCCAGTTCGCACCAAACAAAATCCTATTTAAGAGTATGAAAAAGTTACTCTAGAATACAAGGTAAAAAGATACAAAATAAAGATGCCCATACATCAATCAGTCCGTCGATCCACCCCTTAGACTTTGGCACACCAAACGAGGCGAGAACCACAAGCCAAATCTGGAATGTTTATAAAATGTGAGTCACGAAACTCGGTGAGTACAAATAATACCTAATGTATGAATGTTGGGATATGTATCACACCATAAGTCTAAAACCATACATATACATATACAGTGAGGAGTATAACACATCAAAATATGTCTGTGAGGATACCATCATAATCAGTCATCATATCACATCAATGGGTTAGGGTACTACCCGTATACTATGGCAGCCCACCGTTCGCTAACTGAGCCCTTGGCATCCCAATCACATCACATCACTGGACCCAATGCACTCTCCACACACTATGGCCTACTATGTGCTGTTGAGCCTATCATCCCAAACACATCATAACAGTGCACATCATGTCTGCGACCCCTGCTGCCTCATATCTAATCCAAGACCCTCGTACTGGACACTCAGCATCGCCATCCTCCAACTGTGCCACCTGGTATCCCCAAATCAAATCACACGATACCATTCTCACATATAAGAGAAATAGATATACATACACATATACAATCAAAATCTCAAAAGTCAGTATCATTATATCAACATAACTTACTGACAGTTCACAAAACACATAACACATATCCTAAGTGTAACATGTAAACAAAATACAGTTTACGAAATCACATAATCATCATACCAGAAAATATAGTATGAAAAACACATACATAGTAAGGATATCATCACTCACAGTACTAAAGCCAAGCCAAGAAAGAAGTCCCGAGTCACCATCACCAGACTCACCAATCCAGGTGCACCTCTGCCATTATATCTGTAACCAAAATAAACAAAATCACCATCAACACCAAAACCAGCATAAAAAATGGGCTCAACAGGCCAAAACCGGGCCCAAATCCCATTTAGCACCCCTGGCACGCGTCCCAAGGCATCACTACCATCACCAGGACATACACGACTTACTAACACTCATCAATTTTACTCAACAACCCTTAAACAATAGAGAACCAGTCTCTAAAACCCTCGAATCATAGTGAATCGACCTCTAACACCCTTGAATCAGCTAAAACGAGTCTAAAACTACCTCAAACCAAACTGATCTGACCACGAAACCCTCAAAATCGGATTCAGATAGCCCAAAAACCTTAGGAACTGGTCTGAACCGGTGAAGACTCGCCCAAAACAATGCTGAACTAGCCACCAGAACCCTTAAATCGGCTTGAGCCGGGGAGTTCAACCAAAAATATCCAATTTCTGGTCGAATTGGACTTCTCTAAACCCTCGAACCAACTCGGTCTAATAGATATCTTCCTCTTAAATTTAGAACCGATCCAACTTCCCAAATCCGAGTTAATTTGACTGCTAAACCGGCCGATCAAACACTAAACTATCTCTGGACCGGTTCAGTCAAAAAAGATCCCAATTTCCCCTTAGACAGCCTATCCCAACCTTGATTATTTAATTTTCAGTTTACTCTATCCCTAAAGATAACATATCCCAATTCCACTTGACTAAGTCAACCCATTATTTTTGGTCAAATGGGCTAAGTCAACTTACCGAGTTGACTCACTCAAGCCCAATCCAATTACTCGGCTTAGGCCAACCCAAGCCTATATCAACAACCCACATAGCTTGGCCCAACCCCACTAGGCTGACCCAACCTAAACCTCGCTTGGGCCAACCCTGGCCCAAGCCCACTAAGGCCAATCTAGCCCAAAACTAACTAGGCCCAGCTCGATCCAAGCCCAACCATGCCAGGCCTAAATCTCACCTAGCCCGCTAAGTTGAACCGGTGAGCCGAGTTGACTTGGCCGGCCAACCTAGCACAGACTTGATTGTATCTGGCTCTGTCTCCTTCAGACGGTTGCAGACCTGGGTAATGCATCCAGGTCTGTGACAAACTCGGTTAAGAAATCGGCCAAAAACAACCAAATCCAAGCATACTTATCCAAAACAAAGATCAAAACTAGATGTTCCGAGCCTGGTGAACATGGATGCAAACTTTAATCGGAAGAAAATCAACTCGAGTGGCCTGAAAAACCAGATTCACCTCTAATGGTTTGTAACACCCTCTAATCGGCACCCAAGCCAAAAATCTCTCTTTATGTCCCTCGAAACACCAAATTACTTGAGTCCCTTAAACTTTGGTTCCTCTTAAACAGGTCCTTGGGCAACTTTCAAATCAACCCCACTGATTTTTAATTCTTTTATTTTTGTGCCTAACCTTAATAATCATTAAAAAAAAAAATTCGAGTCATTACCTTCTTCCCCCCTTATAAAAATTCATCCTCGAATTTTAGAACAAGAGAAAAGGTTACATATCGAATAGATGAGGGTATCTCCTGCACATGATCTCCTTGAACTCCTAAGTGGCCTCCTCTTAGGTTTGACTCCTCCACAACACCTTTACTGAGGGCATTTCCTTCGATCAGAACTGCTCTACTTAACGGTCCAGTATAGTTACCAGCTCCTCTTTATAAGATAGATCCTAATCTAGCTAAACATCATGTGACATAATCACGTGCGATGGGTCGGGCGCGTGCTTCCTCAGCATAGACATATGAAACACAAGGTATACCATCGATAACTCTAGAGGAAGAGTCAAACGATATGCTATAGCTCCAACTTGATCCAGTACCTCATACGGGCTAATGTAACGGGGATTAAGCTTACCCCTCTTGCCAAATCTGACCACGCCCCTCATCGGGAAAACTCTCAGAAAACATAGTCCCTTCCAGGACACTCCAACGATCAACGCCTATGCTCCACATAAACCTCTTATCTGCCTTAAGCCACAGACCATCGATCTCTACCCAAGCAACCTTGTCCACCACGTCTTGAACCAAATCCAGCCTCAACAAACTCGACTTTTCGGCCTCAAACCATCCTATTGGAGGTTGGTACCATCTCCTATACAAGGCCTCGAACAGACCATTGAAACTTGACCACCCTTCTGGGTCAATCTGTCGACTACACAGATATCATCAAGAAGTCCCACACAAAACGTCAATAATAGCCTACTAACCAAGAAACTACGAATCTTCATGATAGATGAAGGCCTCGGCCAATACTGTATGGCCTCAATCTTATGGGAGTCAACTATAATCCCATCTCTAGATCCTACATACCCCAAAAAAATCACACTATCACCTCATAACTTGTACTTCGAGAACTTGGCATACATCCGA